CCCAGATTAACCTGTAAGTTGCATGACCTAGTATACTGTTGGTCTTTTATAGGCACTAAAGAAGCATTTATTTCCCTGAAGAAACAGGGAAGAATCATTTCAAAAGCACAACTGCCCTAAAAACCTTCGTTTCCCAAATGAATTTTGACTTTTTACATGAAACACTGATCAGTTACTACTCAACTAACACTAACTGGACAGCAGGGAGACCTCCAATTGACTGTGAAATGAATTCTACTCTGTGTGCATGTGTGGGAAAGGATGCTGTCCCACAGTGGTTTGGAGATGATTGAGATTTGCCCTACAAAAGAAGTTAACAAGGAGGGTGGGGTGGGATAGGGCTCATTTCTTATAGTGTCACTGCTCTGCCTGCACATCATGGTGCTTCTGGAGGGTCATGTTGCTTTTGTGGACAGGATCAAAGGGTAGAAGCAGTGGAAGGTGGAAAATCAATGGAGAGAGAGAGAGAGAGAGTGTGTACAAGTGGTGTGGAAAAAGACCAAACCAGGACATGATTATGAAAGGGATACTGGCAGAGGGCTATGAGAGAAGGAAATACTAGGTTTAAAAGCAGTTCTTATGAACTTCTCTCTCTCCTTGTGATATGAGCTTTGGAAAATAATTTCATATTTGTTTACTTTCTATCTGCTCAGCTAGACCATTTTTGAGAAGACAGGAAGCAGAGAAAAAAGGGGAGATGGCAACATTTCTAGTGTATTTGGGCTAGTCTCCAAATTTTCCAATGTTCCCGCGTGCAAGTTTCTTACAAATGAGAAACCTCTATGAAGCTGTTAGCTTCCTACCTCTCCAATGCTGCAGAGGACATTCATGGCCGGAGGAGAAGACTCCCATCAGCCTAATCTGGTCATTCTGCATTTTAACCTTCAGCAGTTGCTTCAGGATAAAACACACTGGTTCCCATAGTTACATGCAATTCTGAACATCCACAACATGGAAAGAAAGAGAGAGCAGTACCAATTCAACTTTAAATTTAAAGAGAAGACAGGGAGAGGGCCAAGTTCTAGAATTTAAGGGACTCCCAGAACATAAGTCACACATGGGTCTCATCCAAAGTTCTGCCCCTTCTCTTAGCAACTTAACCTTCCTGTGCCTTTTCTCCTATGTGGGAAATGAGGATATAATATGAAAAGCTCTGGTTTTAAATAAAGTTTAAAAGAAATAATGTACCTAAAATATTCAAAGTACATTGCCTGAAATAACAAATTCAATAATGGAAATTATTATTAAGGTCAAAATTGAATCTTTCATACAATTCTCAGTTCAGATTGTCAGTGTCACTTATGTATCAAGATCAACTAATTACAAGTGTTTTATTCCATCTAAAATAAGGCTTTCCTTTAAAACTTTTAGATACAGATATTTTGCTCACTCAGCAATCTAGACTGTCCATGCTTAGTTCTGTTGTGGACTTAACTTTATCAACTCACAGCATTATATTGGCATAGGTCTAGTTTTCTTTTTATGTCCGGAAAAGTAAATTGGTTATCAAATAGGTTCAGAAGCTAAAGCCTCCCAACCCCTCCCTCTAAATACAAATTTAATCCACAAGTAAGTATGCTGAGGAACATCTTAGCTGTGAATGTTTGGAAAGGGTGGAATTTCTCATTTGATAATTATTTTGGTTATCTAGAAAAAAATAAATGTTTATAATTTCAAAACTTACAATTCAGCGTAAGGATGAACACCTTTTCTCAGAATGTAAATATTATCTGTTTTAAGACAGAAGAACAATGAACAACATATGCTTTCACTCAATACTATGTATCAAGTGCTAACTATGCACTAAGGGCACATTAATCCAAAGATTAAATTGCCCACTAAGACACTACCAAAATTAAGATATCCCCCATGTTCTAGGTCAGGAGGCAGGTGGGGTCTAGATTATGGCTGGAGAAGGGAATGCTTTCTTAAAAGTGTAAGGACATAACAGCCACAAAGCACTGGCAGCTATCAGGAAATGGGTTGCTGTCTCATAGTCACTGGGACTCATGTTTTTACAGCACGGGGCATCAAAGCATAGGCCTTTTGCATCTAGCTTCATTTTCTGATTTTTCCTTTTGTTGGGCACTTTATTCTTGGGAGCAGCTGGGCAAAGAAAGAAGCCTCTGCTTGGGAAGGGGTCCTCACTTAAAGAACAAGGCCACAGCTGTTGATGGTGCAATGCAAACTGTGGCTGAGCACTGGGTCAAGATCACTAAACAGCTTCTAAATAAATGGCAGACTCCTCAGCCCTGCAGGAAAAAAAATCTGGGTATGCACAGGTGCTCACCAGTTCAGTGACCTTCGGTTTTGTATTTTCACTTTTTTGAAGAAAGGTTAAACTACAAAATTATGACAGTGGGGCTAAATTCTTGTTTTTTTTTTATTGCAGTGTATCTAATGTATGATCAACCCTCTCAGCCTTATTTTAAGAAGGCAAATAATTCATATCAACCTTTAAAGGAAATACTTTTAAAATCTTTCTTCTAGAAAACCTTTCTGCTATTTGTGCTTGCCATGATTTTCAATGAGAAGATACTAGTTCAGACACACACATACTATTTCTAACAATGAAAACTAAAACACATTCATTCAATCAAATGAATTGTGCTCAATCCCTGAACCCTGGTTTTATCAGTTGTAGAATTTGGGCTAGCCTCTAAGCCTCTTGGTTCTTCTGTTTCTGAACCACTATGACATGGGATACCTTTTTCTTGAATTTAAGGTCAAATGTATAAAGATTTTGGTAGAGTAAGGACCAGAAGGGTTGAATAAGTGTTTAAAGCTTCACAAACTTTAATGCACTGCCCAGCTCATTTCATAACGAGAGACTACAAATACTATTTTAAAATTCTCCAGTTATTTTTTACTTGACCCTGTGTGAATAATGATGTTCTGCAATTTTCCCCAGCTCCTTAAGGAAATGTTCATTTTTTTCAAGACCGAGTGTAAATGACACCGATCTTCTGGACTTCTCTGTTACCACATGTAGCTAACCCACCGCCTCTGTGTTGGAACATAATTCTCTCCTAACAGATGCAAATGAACCATAATTATGTGCTGGTGTATTATGCTCAGTAGACCAGAGGAAATGTAGTCATTCTTAAACCCACAGCACTTACCTTGGTGCCTGGTACACAAGAGCTCAAACCACACACACACACACACACACACACACACACACACACACACACACACACACACACACACACACACACACACACACACACACACACACACGATATACTGGAGTAGAAATACTTCCTTTGTGGATAGTTTGACAGAGGAACACATGGATGTGCTCCGAAGGAGGTGGTGCGACCGTGTAGTCATGTTCACTTCACACACACACAAACACACACATGCAGCTTAGGCTTTGCGCTAGGGGACAGGGTCTTCAGCCTCTAGGGTCCAGTCGGGTTTCCGGGTTTGGAACAGTTTCATGGGGCACCGGCAGGGGGCGGCGTAGCTACGCAGCTGGCTGCGCCGCGGGTGACACCCCTGCACGGCACCCTCACCCCAGAGCCTCGCGGCTCTACTGACCAGGTGGAAAGGAGGACCTTCCTCCAGGTTCGCGGCCGAGGGCGACTTCAACTTTCCCGGCATTTTCATCTCTGGCTACCGCAACCTCCACATGAAAGAAAAGCTGTTCTCTATCAGTTGGGAAAGAGGCAGCGAGCGGCCGAAGAGATGTCCAGAGAAGGCGGGGCGCTTTCTAGCAAACCGGGGTGCGAGCGCGAGGGGGCGGAACCGTGACAATTCTAGAGCTCAGGGTGATCGACCTAGGCTGGAGGGGAGTTAGTCTTCAAATCCTCTCGGCCCTAGCTTTTAGGCGGCGTGGGAACATCCCACTGAAATTCTTATCCACCTGAAAAAGGCAAACCTTAA